AGAGGTAAGAGGGCGTAAAGAGAGAAATGGAAAGAGAGTAGGAGATTAAAAGAAGGGGGGCGAAACCCCTTGCATGGTTAACATATATAATAAAATAATGCTCGTTCATATCTGGAGTTAGTGGGGGGGGCGGCAAGTTAAGTTACTTTACTGGTGAGTAATGTTAAAATAGTTAACTTAAATAAAAGTAAATAAACGTAAATACCTCTTTTGTTTGATTTGTTTTTTTATTTTGTTTTTGAGTTTTATATAATTTTTGTTGTTTTTTATTGGTTTTATTTTTATAGAATAACAAAGTGATTACAGAACAATTAAAGTAAATAGATAATTTTTATTGATTTTCTTTTTATTGTTTTTTATTGATTTTCTTTTTATTGTTTTTTATTGATTTTCTTATTTGATGTGTTAAGGAAACAATGGCTAATTCTACTTGAACGAAAAAACAAAGGAACTATATTTTGGGTTTTTATATTATATTAATTTTTTATTTGATTTTATTGCTGTAAACAAAAGCAAACAGTTGCAGAGAGAGGTGGGGAGTTCCAGGGCAGAGCGAGATGATGTCTGATGGATGATGAAGGAGAAATATTCTAGATAGAGATGGGTGAGGGATGAGATGGGGTGAGTGAAGGGGGAGAGGATAAGCGAATAAAGTGGTATAATAAAACATGCGGGGAGATTAATTCATTGACAACTGGGTCTGACGAGTCAAAAGGGGAGGGGACGAAAGGGGAGCATAGTACACAAATAGTGAGAATAAAACAAAACAGAACAATAACGGTGGTAAAAATAAGAAATAGCAGAGCAAAGGTGGCAGAGGAACAGAAAGTGAGCAGGGATTGAGCGATGGGTTGCTCTGGGGCCGTCAGAGTGACGAAATAGGTGGCAGAAGAGGCTGACACAGAGCATTAAGCAAGAGAGCCGCCGCGTGCATACATACATATACATATATATGTATATATAAATATACATATATAAATACATGCATGCATACACACAGGTAAGCTCTTACCAATGCATTGTGTCAGCCAGATACTGGTGTTGAAGAGATAGGGTGAAGAACAAAATAGCATAACATAACAGAACATAAAACAGAACAAAATAACAAGGCTAATTTTTTTTTTTTTTTTTTTTTTTTTTTTTTTTTTTTTGGAAGTTTTTGTTTGTTTTTTCTTCCTTTTTCCGTAGAACATCTCCATCCTGCTCGTCCTCTGACTCGCGTGTCTGCCTTATGCAATTGCACGAGTGCAATCCCATAATCACAGGCAATCGAGTCAGAGTCCGTAGCAAGTTTGTAAGATGTTCAGTCCTTGAAATAACTCCGTGTATAATTCCGTGTTGACGATTCCACGACCACTAGGCGGGCCGAAGCGGGCAAAGTGACTAATCGTGGGAACTTCAACGCGGAATATATACCTTTGAGCCACGCCAAGGTGGCCAGCCCTCTCTCCCCCGTGATTGGCTGATCCGCGCCGCACGCATGTACCTGCCAGATACCGCCAGCTGCGGCTGGCAGGCTCGAAGCTTGCTCGCTTTCTTAAGTTGTTATAGCTGTGCAGCGTGGATTAGCCAATCCTTTGGGGATTCTGAGGGTGACTTCTGTTTTATTTATTTTTTATTTATTTTGTTTTAGCCTTGAACAAAGAAACATAGATGGGCAATCGTGGTCATGATAAAGGTCAGTGTGGATGCGTATATTGGTGCGGGTGTCGGTGTTTCCGTGATTGGGAGTGTGCGGGGCCACCAGGTGTGGTTGTTGTGTGTGTTCGTGTGTCTGTCGATAATGTTATTGTAGTTTGCGTCTTCTTGTTCGCGTAGGCGGGCCCAGGTGTTTTGTGCGCGTCTGTGTATGCGTGTGTTGAGTGGCTCGATGCTGTATGTTCGGTGTAGAGTTTCTGAGGAAATAAAGTCTAATCTTGTTGCGCCGTGTACCCAGAGTAGTGCTTTGTTCTGTACTGATTGCATTTTGAGTTTTTGGGAGTGAGATATTGCAACCAGCGGGACAGCTGTATATTCGAGAATTGGTCTGACAGTTGTTTTGTATAGTCTGAGTTTGGTTCGTGGTGTGCAGCATGAGAAGCGTCGGAGTTTGGTGAGTATTGTGCGTGCTTGTGTGATTCTCTGTTTGATGTGTGTGGTGAATCCAGTGGTTGAGAGGTGGAAACCGAGAATGTTTCCCCTGTTTGAGTATGGGATGTGAGTGTTGTTGATTGTGATGGGTTGTGAGTATCTGCGTGCGATGTGGATGAGTTTGAATTTGTTCATGTTAGTCTGTATTTTCCAATGGTGCTCGAATGTGTTGATGTTCTGTATAGCTCGTTGTGTTGTGAGTTTCATGATATGTTGTGATTTAGAGGGGTGTGAGATAATCTGCGTGACGTCGTCTGCATAAGAAAAGTAGTTACTGTGTGGTGTTGGCTGTGGCAGATTGGCTGTGTACAGGATATAAAGGGTTGGCGAGAGAACGCTTCCCTGTGGTACTCCACTTCTCAGGTGGAGGGGGGTGCCCAGGTGGGATCCCAGGCGTATTGTGGCAGTCCTATGGTCCAGGAAACTGCAGAGGAGGCGCGTGAGATGTGTAGGGAGTTGTAGTTGTATTATTTTGTATTTGAGGCCGTCATGCCAGACCTTGTCAAAGGCCTTGCTGACGTCTCGTAGTATGATGTTGATCTGGTGCTTGTTAGCGAGACCGAGAGCGATTTCCTCGTAAGCGAGTGCAATCGCACTCTCGGTCCCCCTGTGTGGGCGAAAGCCGTATTGCCTACTGTTGTGTTTGTTGTTGTTTTCAAGGTGGGTGATGAGTCTGCGGGTAATAAGCCTCTCCAGCAGTTTCCCGGGAACTTCCAGCAACGAGATGGGGCGGTAATTCCCCACCTCGTGTGCTGACTTCCCCGACTTCGCAATAAGGGTGATAGTTGCGTGTTTGAATTTGTCGGGGAAATATCCTGTAGCCAAGCAGGCGTTGAAGATATGGCGTAGCTTGCGGATCATAGTGGGTGGCAGATGTTCAATGATTGTTTTGTTTATGTTGCTTGCTCCTGGTGTTGTGTTTTTCGTGTGTTTTATTGTGTTTATTATTTCTTCTGGAGTGATGGGTGTGGAGGGGACTGTCCTCTGTGAGATTGTTCAGTGTTATGATGTTTTCTGGGAGAGTTAGGTTTCTGTGTTGTTGTAAAGTAGTTTGTGACCTCGGTCTCTGTGGTGTTATCGAAGCGGGCGTTCTCGGCGGGGGAGATCTGGAAATTCTGTTGCCAGAATTCCCTGTGGAGTGCCTCCATCCCCTCCACCGAGTTCACCCTCTGTCTGTGTGCGTTGTAAATGTATGAGACTGTCTGTCTGTTCGATCCCATGAGCATTTTGAAGGAGCTCCAAAATTTCTTGGGATCTTTCGTGTTCTGCATAGTTTCCTCGCTAGTGTTTCCCAGTGTTGATTGCTCATTACTCTAACTTCGTGTGTGAGCTGTGTTTGTATTTCTCTGTATCGTGTGCGTAGTTGTGCGTCCCAGCCCCGTGTTATTGAAAGTTCGTGTAGATGCCTGTATTGTATTTTCAGCAATTTCAGATGATGTGTTTCTCTGTAATGGGGGATAGTTTTGTATGTTGTTTTGGGTATGTTGGCCTCACGGGCCGTCTGTATGTCTGTGTACCACTGTTCAAGGTGGTTGTTTATCATGTGCGTGGGCTGACCCTCGAGATCGATTACTTGTGTGTTTTCGAGTGCTTGTTTAAATCCCTCCCAGTTTGCATGTTTGAAGGATTCTCGGGGTTGTGTTGGGTCATGATGGGGTTTGTTGACAGTGTTATTATTACAGGGAGGTGATCACTGGAGGTGACGTCATCTGTGGTAATGTGGTAGTGTAGGTGTGCTATGTGGTTCGCGAGTACTATGTCAGGTGTTGTCGCTGCGTTATGTGCAATGTATGTTGGTGTGTGTGGACCGAGGTGTGTGAGTCTTCCTTGTTGTATGTAAGAGGCCAGGCCTCTGCCAACTGCATTTGTGTCGTTGTAGCCAAAGAGTGTGTGGTGGGCGTTGAAATCTCCCATGATGTATATTGGTTTGTTGTGCCTCAGGAGCTGCAGGATGTCAGGTTCGGGAATGTATTGTCTTCGTGGTGGTATGTATAGTGTTGCCAGTATGATGGGTCCTTGTGGTGTGTTTACTTCGACTGCCAAAAGGTCTGAGGTGAAGTTATTTATGATTTTGTGAGTATGTCGTTTTTGATCGCAATTGCTACGCCATCGCTTCTTTCCTGTGATTGGTTGGAAGAATAGACAGTGTAAGTGAAGATCTTCAATGGAGTGGTGTTATTGAGCCCATGACTGTTTATGAGGATGATGTGTGGGTCGTGTTTCCTGTATGTGTTACAGAGTTCTGTTTTGCGTGTTGGCCAGTGTAGTACGTTGTGTTATAATGGTGAGGCGTGAGTGTAATGTATGGTGTCCCATGTGTATTGTGTTGTTATTGAATGAGAACCCATTATGAATAGCGTGCATGTTGTCACAACGTTCAATCATTCCGTTGGTGACCTTTAAGTTACCGTCCTTTAAGTGTTGGTGTAGTTTCTTTATCGTGACCACGATTGCATGCTCCTCTTTCGTCAGTAGCCACTTTATTCGCTTATTGATAATTTCTTGGCCTATTTCATAGCGATCAGAGTACTCGTTTTTTTGGTTTTCTGCAAAGAGGCGGATGCCGTAGTAGGTAGGGTCTGTGGCAGTCCCATCCATGAGGCGTTCCATCCCCTCGTCATCGACGTGGCTGTGACCTGGTTCGGTTTGGTCAGGTGTGGGTGGTGGGGGACCAGGTGTGTCGAGAGGGGTATCACTGAGGATATCCCTGGTTTCAGCCTCTGAGGGGATGTGTATGTACTTTGGCCTCACAGATGGGCCTGTGGTGGGGGGTGCGGATGTTGGTGATGACTCCTGGGGAGATGACTGGGGTGCAGCTGTCTGGGCCTCAGCAGGCTGAGGCTCTGACATCTGGGCAGGCTGGGCTCCTGTACCTGAACCCGTACAGTCTGAGGTCTCTGGGGCTGAGGTTGTGGTGCCTGAACCTGTGAAGGTTGAGGCCTCTGGGGCTGGGGGTGGCCTGAACCTGTGGAGGTTGAGGTCTCTGGGGCTGGGGTTCAGGAGGAGCCTGGATAGTCATGGTTGGGGGCTCGATGACTTTGAGGATTCCCCAGGAGTTTGAATCTCCGAGATCGAGATCAGGGAGATTGTTGTTTGCCAAAGCTGCCTTGGCATGGTGTCTGAACCCTTTCTCAGGGGCAATGAGGTTCTGAAGGTGGGCGTGGAGAAGGACCACGAGTATCTCTTTGGAGAGATTATCAGGGAGGGCAAGGTGGATTGTGGGATCAGGGGTCTTTTGCTTGATGTCCTGACGGACCTGGTTTATTAAAGGCTTCCAGGCATTAGTGGTAGCCTGCACAGTTTCCTGTGCTGCCTTTTGGGCCACAGCCCTGATGGGTCTGGTCTCCTTCTCCTTCTCCTTCTCTTTCGACTTCTCCTGAGAAGTCTTCATTGCCTCCTTTCTCATGGGGCAGCTATTGGCAAATGTCCTGTGGGCCCCCACAGTTAAGACATTTTCTTGACTTGACTTCTACAGTCCCTAAATGAGTGGGTAGAGGAACCACATTCAGTGCATCTTCCTCCTCTTTGCAGTGGTTT